GATAAGACAGAGAGGACGAAATTTTCTGACGCTCACCGGAAGGGGTACCGACAATGACTCAGCTGACGCGTCGAGGCGAGGCAACGTTGCGCCGATCGAAAAAAAAAAAAGAATTCATGTTATCGACGGAACAAAGGTGGCAACGGCGAGGACAAATTTCCCGATACAACACGCACACGGTTTCCGCGAAACTTTTCCTCGTCGTGCAAATTCATTAAAAAAAAAAAAAAAAAAAAAATAGAAGGAATAAGTAAACGCATACATGCATAAACGAGCCAGAAATATAGGTTCGACGACGGGAGAGCCGCGGCGAGCAGACTCGGTTCTCGGCCGCGGGAAAAAGTGCGCTGGAAATTTTCCTCTACATTCTCTTATCAGCTCGTTAAGTAAACTGTTAACGGTTAGAGCACCGTGGACCCTGGCACGACGCATCGGACGTCGTCGTCGTCGTAGTCGTCGTAGTCGTCGTCGTCGACGTCGCTCCAGTAATTTCTCGGGCTCGGAGGTACGTACGGTCGCGCGCCGAGCCTCGTTTGCTTCTTCGTTTGCTTTTGTACGTCAGAGATTCGTGTGTGTATATCGGAGCCGAGCGACGAAAATACGACGCGGCTTCGATACGCCGATTAACGTTGGCAAATAATACGCCGGTGGACACTGCCGGCAGCTCGGAACTGTTCCATTCGGGCCGGTCCTTAACCCCCCAGAAAGCGGACCTTTTTCTGATAATCTCACAGGTGGTGATGCCTCGGCTCGCTTAGGTCTTTCTTTATCGATCCGGTCAACCCTTGCGCCCAGCTTTGTTGTATCATGGCTACACCGATTAGAAGTCGTTTACAATATTGCTATCGGAATCTGAAGATACGAAAAAGTGTAGTATTTTATATTTTTCAGTGGACGTTGATGAGAGAAAAGTGGAATTTGATTTTAAAAGAAATCAATAGCGAATTTATCGAATAGATATATTGTGATTAAAACGTTCGTATCGAAAGTGATACAATGTCGTAGAGCGGATTAATAACGTGCAATTCAAATGTCTGGAATTGAAAACGACCAGAGAATAAACGGAGTAGCTTAACGATGCTTTTTAAATGTTGCTGGAGAATAGACCCAAGTAACGCTCCCAAATATTGATGTTGCAATTAGGAGTGTGTTGACTTTAAATTGCGGCTACCACCTCGATTAATATAAATTTGCATTTCTCGTTTTATAATTGAGTTGAGAACGTGAGGATATTTGAAACTTTACCGGAATGTTCAAAACTGCGCGGTGGATAACACAACAAACAGGATTAAGCACGCGTGATCCCCGAGCGGAGATTACGTCAATTTATGGGTCAAGGAAAACCTGGAACACCACCCGCTTCTATCAGAACTTCGGAGAGAGAGAAAAAAAAGTCTCACGGTCCTTCAAGCGACGCGGAAGTTTCCTCGAACAGTTTTTTTTTTTTTCGAATACTACTCGGATGCTGCGCGAGCTAATTTATGATAGCAATCGTGAATGATAGCGAATGTGGCGAATATCATTCGCACGCAACGAAAATCTTACCAATACAGAAACCAGTTCCCCGATTGGTCAGAATGAACGGAACAAATTAATTACGCTAAACGATTACAATTTTATTTATGCTGTCAATCCCTTGCTCTCCGGTTTCTTACATTCTCACTTTATTACCGATCAACATTTACTTCTTTGAACGTTGTACACATTTGAGCCGTTTATTTTGAAAGTGGCGTAAGTCTGTCTCTTATACACATCTAGATGTGTATAAGAGACAGATATATTTAAGGGTTTGCGTTTTAACACCGTTTAAAAATATGGATGCTAACTTTCGAGAAGATTTACTAGATGTGTATAAGAGACAGATATATTTAAGGGTTTGCGTTTTAACACCGTTTAAAAATATGGATGCTAACTTTCGAGAAGATTTACTAGATGTGTATAAGAGACAGATATATTTAAGGGTTTGCGTTTTAACACCGTTTAAAAATATGGATGCTAACTTTCGAGAAGATTTACTAGATGTGTATAAGAGACAGATATATTTAAGGGTTTGCGTTTTAACACCGTTTAAAAATATGGATGCTAACTTTCGAGAAGATTTACTAGATGTGTATAAGAGACAGATATATTTAAGGGTTTGCGTTTTAACACCGTTTAAAAATATGGATGCTAACTTTCGAGAAGATTTACTAGATGTGTATAAGAGACAGACTTACGCCACTTTCAAAATAAACGGCTCATTTTTCAGAAGAATGGGATCACGTTTACTAAGTTTCAAACTTGTACCGAATCGATTCTAATAAAAAATAGAAATTACAGAAATCCATGAATGGAAGCCGAAATCAAGCCTGATCGAAAGTTTCACTGAACGGCGTATTAACACTCTGACTAGCTAAAAGTTAAATTATACGACAATATTATTACGTTTGACGAGTTCTAATAAAATTAGGAAGATATTTGAGAAATCTGAGTAATACAATTCTGTCAGCGCATCTGGGTGACATGGCAGTCGAAACATAGTCGATCCAGCAACCAACAACTAAATTAGCGAATCGCAAGAAGTAGCTCGTAAAGCGATGCATTTCGTAATACAAATAATAATAATAAATAAAATACAATATATATATATATATATATATATATATATATATATATATATATAATAAAATACAATAAAAAACAAAGCGTCGTCTACCAGAAAATAGCGTTTCGAAAATCGTGAACAACGTCGGCAATTAGATAAATTCCGAAAATTCAATTACGGTGCCCGCACACGCGAAGTTAGCAGTTAACCCTCTACGGGCCGAATTGTTTTCCTAAATATAACAAAATTTATGCAACGGGAAATCTATTATTATAAACCTGTATATGCTAGTTAAAAAAATATTTAACAGTTTAAATAACTTTATTATAATTCATTCAATTTGTAACTTTGAAGTAACAANATTTAACAGTTTAAAGAACTTTATTATAATTCATTCAATTTGTAACTTTGAAGTAACAACGGCTTACAATGTTTCCACTTCTGCGCGTAAATGCTTAAGCGTGAAATTCCATAAAACAGTTCGAATTTGGCGTTAAACATTGATGTACGTTGCATTTGGAATTGGTTGCCAGATAGTTTTTTGTGGTCTTGAATTTTCCTCATCCGACGATAATTCGGTACTAAATTCATCGTCACTGTCAATAATATTTATGCGTCGTCTGGTAAATGTTACTGGACGACCTTCATCGGACTCAGAATCTAATAAAAAATCTTCGGATCTATTACCGCCAATGCGACTAATTCTAATTCCCCTTTTATTTTTATATGATTTTGTATTCATACTTTGGGGGGGGGGGGGTATTTGATATATAAATATGAAAATAGAAGAAAGCACAACTATTATCCTAAATACACTCGAATCTACCACAATAGTCCAATGTAACCTGAAAGTTACAAAACTGTATCATGTACAAATAGTAACAAAATGATTATATCGAAATGCAAATAAATAAATTGTTATTGATATACGAACCTAGAGCTATTATATACGCTTTTTTATTTATTTTAAACACCGACAAAAGCACAAATAATCTCAATTGCACAAATGGTCCCTTTGGTTTCTATCTGCAGACAACTTGCAAGGTATTTATTTTGACATTTCAGGTTGACGGTGCTGCCAACCGTCATCGATATTGTTATTGTTTATTTCAGAGGCATTATATAATTAAGACGTATACATCATCTTGTGAAAAAAAAACTAAAACTATTTGGTAAAATGTGGATATATTAGCTTGTGACTTGAAAGTTACGTGAGCCTATAGAGGGTTAACGCGCGAATGCGTTAAGTCTGCGCAAACAGTCCTCCGGGCTAAATACGACCGACGCGAACGCATTCGGAAGATATCGGAGAGAGTGGTCCTAGGCGGACCGCGGCGATCAAAAGCATCCCCTTCCGGGGGTTAACCCGCGGCGCCCGCATTTCCGGTTCCGTCCGCGTCGGCCATGCGAGCGACAGTCCACGGTCGTAAACAACGGCCATAATAACGAAACGGGACGAGGAGCAGCGACAACAAGGGGCTCCCGGGTTGTGTTCGAAGAACCATAAACGCCGGGCCCGCGGAGCCGAAACCACTCTAATTTCCGTGGAACCGCGAGACGCAAAAGAAACGTCAACAACGTTCGGTTCCGGAAATACACAGGCGGCGACAAAGGAATTCGCGATTTCCATCACAAGGCGAGCTCGTCACGCGTCAAAAATCTCGTGTGCCGAGGCGACAACGATGCTTCAGCATCTCCGGCGTCGCGATGCACTTCGTTCTGGCGGGGCTTCCGCGGCCGCTATCTCTCTCTCTTTCTCTCTTCTCGAGAAGAAGAAGAAGAAGAAAAAGAAGTGGAGGAAGAAGAAGAGGAATCGACACGCGCCTTTCTTATCGCGGAGCAATCTCTCCCCCTTTCTCCGCGACGGTTGCCAATCGTCGATATATCGAGTGACACTCGCGGGAATTTTTGTCAGAGGAATTTCCTCGGGGCAGCTGGCGCGCGTCCAATCGTTTGCTCTAGCGAGCGCTCGCTAGAGACCGTCCTCCTATTCGCTCGTGTGTGTACCCGCGCGCAACTATTCCCGCCGCGGTTCTCTCTTGGCAGGCCTGAGGGAGTGCGACAGAGAAAGCGAGAAGGAAAAACTGGAGGAGAGCGAGGAAGAGAGAAGGAGAGAGCCCCAGCGAACGGTGCGCCGACCGACGACGACGACGACGCTCGCCTCGATGGACAAGTGAAAGAGAGAAAGACCGATTGGAAAAAGAGAGAGATAGAGAGGGATAGAGAGAGACAGATAAAGAGAGTAAGAGAGAGAGAGAAATGGAAGAGAGAAGGAGCACCGGAGGCAAGGGAGGAAGATCACAGAGGAAAGCAAAGAAAGAAGAGAGGGTGGAGTAGGTGGGGAGCATCGCGGGTAGGGGGGAGCGTGAGGGGGGAGGAGAGCAGTGTACACGGGGCGCACACGGTTCTCTGTTACCTGCGACTCGTGGCCGTGTCCAGCATGGTAATCCAATCCCTCGGATGGGGGGCTACCTCGTCATCCCTGCGGGTCTCTGGTTGACCGATCGCGAAAAGTCGAGGAACTTCACTGAACGGCTACTTCCGTCCTTCCCGGGGCACTGCTCGTCGGTAATAAAAATCACTCACTAGCCGTGCGATCCCCGGCGTGAATGTGCACGAGAGAGAACGCGGAAGGACGCCTCTGGCTGGCGCGAACACGAGACGCGCACACCTCCCGATCCGCTGCTCCACACAGCCTCTACTAATTCGTCTCTCTTTCCCTCTCTCCGCCGATTCTTCCCTAGCCGCGGCGACGTTTACGTTTATCAGCCGTGCGTACCGTCGCCGTCGTTGTTGTCGTCGTCGTCGTCGTCGTCGTGGTCTGGTCGGAACCGAATCCGGACCCACTGCGCGGCCGAGATGAAAACGCAAGCACGCGCGCGCGCGCGCACGCGACGAAAACAACACTCGACCGGGACCGATTAATGCGTGTACGTGTGCTCGGGCCGCCACGATCACGGGAATCCGCGGGCTGCTTCTCGGTTTCACGAGGAACGATACGCGCCACCGCGACACCCAGTCCACGTACCCCCACACGAACGACCGTACGCTAGCAGAGGCCGCAATACACTGAGCGAACACATGACTCCGAGGGGGCCTAGTGCGTGCGCGCGCCGCCTAGCGGGCGCCACCGACGCGGCGCGACGATCGCCGATCTCTCGCGAAGACCGCCAGCCAATTTTACTCCGCCTCGGGAAACTCGGGGAAATTTCAGGAATTTCGAAAATTTTTCGAGAACCCGTGCGACCGGAAGTCACTCGCTGCTTGATCTCGTGGAAGGGCTTCCTTCGTTCAGGTGCTGACACTTCTATCGAAGTCTACGGACCCTCGGTATCCGACTTTGGACAGCGTCCCTTCCACCACCGGTGAGTTTTTTCTCGTGAATTTTTTCTCGCTATTGACTGTTCTTCTTCTCCGACTTGATTTTCTCTCGCTCAACGTGTTAAACTTCACGCCGGCCGCTGGGGCTTTACGATTTCTAATTACGCCGCGTTCGCAGTTCGTGCGCCCCTACGATCCGAGGTTAAGTCAATCCTTTACACCTTTACTGCAAATTATTGTTACAATGTTTGCATCATATTTGTTTATATTCGAAGAGCTGTCGGAAGTATAATTGTTGCGCGAGTCGGACGAGTGAATTTCGTACGCGCGAAAAGCGCCGAGGGTGCCCGCGAAAATGGCGGTAGAATAGGTTCGGCGCGGCGCGCATGCGCGGTGATTGGGCGCCGGGATTTCAAATTACGAACGCTGGACCGCGGGTCTCGCGGTTATTTTGGATCCGCGACCGTGCGAAGCCCGACGAATCGATCGTCGCGACGACGCGATCTGCCGAGATTTTCATTTCCTGGATCGGAAAGTAAGCGTTGCTTGTCGTTCCGATCGAATATCACGGGGAAGAAAATCTGTGTTTGCGCGGACGATTAGCGGCGAGTAAATCATGTCGGCTGAAACAAACTTAAGCGGGCGGCTTAACGCGACGACACGAGCTGTAGAACAGGATTTCGTCACTGATTTACAAGGAGGACTGGCTAAGGACGCTCTCGGGGAGTCGAAAGTTAGCTGTTATCGCTTTGCACGCGGTTATCACATTCCTCCCGTGCCGTTCGCGCAGTCATCCTGCTTTATTGTTCGCGTTCTCTCTCGTTCCCTCCCTCCATTTCTCTCTCTCTCTCTCTCCCTCTCTTTCTCCCTCGTCAGAGCGAAATCGATAAACACACTCTCCCGCTCGCCGCGAAGACACCGCGTGTTTCCGAATTCCTGCGGCGTCGCGATACGCCTCGTAAAAATAGCCGGCTCGGTCAAATAGAATCACGTTATCGTCCCTAGGAATGTCGGTGAGACGGCGGTATTTGAGATGGAACGAGAGAGAGAGAGAAGGACGGAGAAAGAGACACCGAGGAAAAAGGTTCCGTGAAATAACACGACGAGAGCTCGTCGTTTACAATCTAATTGCTCGCGGATCTCTAGCCTGCTGGCTGTAATCTTGTTTACAGGCCAAAGTTAAGAGGCCTAGCGGTCTATTTGCTCACACCGAACTGTTTGATCTCCGGTTGTTACGTGCGCTAACCGCGATTGATAGTGAAAGCGTTCTTTATCGGCCGGAGAGGAGCGCGCAAATACCTGTCGATATTTTTACGCGACTCCCGGCCGACCAAACAAACGATTCGCGATGCTCCTCGTCTGCGGTGCGCGGTGCTCGCGTGTTCTACTGCCTCGAAAATTGAACCCGCGATCGCCGAGCCTTATTGTTCTCGAGTCCGGCTCGTCCCGGTCCGATGAGAGTCTCTTTCTCTCTCGCGACAGAGAGAATTTCGCGGAGAATTTCTCCGCGGTTTTGCCATCAATTTTCCGCCGATAGAATTCGTCCCGATCGGATTTTCGGCTTGAGCTGCGTTAAAATCTCGTCGCGAGCGTTTCCGGTTCACGTTGTCTCGGAATCGAAGCCGCTCGAGCAGCCGAGGAAAAAAGAGCGGCCGCCCGAGAAACGATGGAAATATCAATTGGCGTGTGTACACAACCACAGTTAGCAACAGTGACGTAGCCGGCGACGCACAGAAGCGGCGATTGGCTGCTAAAACAGCTGCTATCTTATCTTCTTCCCCGTGAGTGTCAACACTCGCCGAGCGCCGCGGTACAATGTGCCGCGGCGGGTTACGAATGTGTAATTTGCGCCGGGTCGAATTTTTCCTTCGCGGCCCAAGGGGCCCTCCGGCACACGGTCCCTTCGGGCACGGTCCAACCCTTTCGTCGTGGCCGTGGCTCGTTGGGAAACAACGGCGCGCACCGACTCCCCGCTATCGGGAACAGCTTGTCGATGAGTATCGACGCGTATCGAAACGGGTACTCGATTACAAGTGCTTTATCGCCGGTGGAAATCAGCCGGGCCACTCGGGCGACGGAATTCTAATTGCAAAACTCTCCGCGCCCCCTTTTTTCTCCCCGGACAGTTTCCAGGCCCGCGTGTAATTAGATTCGATATCGCGTGTGCCTGATATTCTTTCAGCTGGTCGCAGCCCGGCTGCTAATTTTATGGATTTCATGGACCGGGTCACAGCGATGTAGATCGACACAGTCCGACGGGATTTCTTTTCTTTCTTTCTTTCTTTTTTTATCGTTCACGAGATAGAATCTCTATTAGATTTCTCGGCTTAATTATTAATTAACCGCTGATTTACGACAACGCGGGAGGCCATTGTTCGTTAAAAACCAATTTGCTTTTACCGGTATCCCGTCTTAATTGCGAACGTAGGCAGCGGGCAATAAACGTAAACATTCCTCGCCTTTTCCGGCAACCGAATGCCTCGCATTCATAACGGCGCCCACGTATTCGTTTATGTTCATCGTAAAGCGTTAGATGCCCGGAAATAAATTGCTACGGGATATTAGAGGATAGTTCGAACGAGTTCGGCCGTTCAGATGTCGACGGAGACTGTTTCGAAGCGGAGCGGGGCGACAGTTTTTTTGATTTATTCGTTTGAGCGGCGGAATAAAATGTTTCCGTTACAAGCGTAGCTTCAAGTATTGTATACGATAAACTCTCCCTAATTGACGCTCAGATCGTGCACAAAAGTGGACAGTTTGGGAAGAGGAGGTACGATCATTCGAGCCTTGCGAACGATCGTCGACAGCTATAAAAACGAGCCGCGAGTCTCGAATAATCGTGTCTTCTTTTCCGAAATTGTCCATTTTTGTGCACAAACTGAGCGTCAATTTGGGTGAATTTACTGTAAAACGAGATCGCCGCAGTGAATGCGGTCCTTGCGATTAATGCAAAAAGCGTGTTAAGAGTTAAAGAGCGCGGTTAATACGAAGCGAGGAAAAAGATATCGCGGGAAAACGGGAATAGACAAGTCGAAAATAATGAATTCGAATATATTTAAAGAAGGAGTTAAGATTTTCAATTACCTTTGTAATAGCCAAAATAACGAAGCGTTTGAAGACGATTATAGAGATACAGTAGAAGAACAAAGTGCGATACATGATTCGCAGAGTGCAGATCCGAGCGCACACTATTCAGGAATAAATAAATATTCCTTGAAATGAGTCGAAATTCCGGGAACTTCTCGGTAGCACCTCGTTATATTGACATTCGCGCCTCGTATAGCTCCTGTTCCTGCGAATCTATGCAATATTGATTTAGCACAATGATCCGCAGTCGATTCGTAATACGGAACAAAGAGGACCCTAAATGCTATATTTGGATATACAAGGATATAACTCACGAATACCTACTAAAAAAAAAAAACAGAACCACCAAAGTGCAACGTTTGCAACGAACTAACATCGACAGCTCATGAAATGCACTTCTAGAAATGCAAAAAATTCAGTCTGCAGAGACGAAAATACGGACTCCAGCGAAAAGACATCTCTGACCTCCGAAGATCATGTTATCAAAACTTTGAACTACCCGAAAGGAACACAACTATATAAAATAACAAATTAACGATAAAATTTAGCGATCAGCCTAAAAACAGAACCTGTCGCTAATGACCCTGCAGTCGATGCGAAATGAAAAGACCCAAATGAAAGAGGAAAAAATGCTATATTGACACCCGCGTACAACAATATTTATCGCATACAGTGACAAAGAAAAATGAGAAAAGTCTCAGATGAAGCGTACGCGGAGCCCCGCGGCGCTCCGAGTGTAACAGATCGTAGAGCCGTGATTTGATTTCAGGACAATGCAACGTCCGATCGGTAAATCGGCCGATAAGAAATTTTTCATTTCGACTGTAAAGAACGGGGGGACACGTGGCAACGCAGATTCGAGTCGGTCGGCCGCGTTAATTGGCCATTGTGCGGCGTTCGAGGCGGATCGAGGCGGAGGCACGAAAGAATTCAGGTGACAACCTTGACGGTCCAACTTTGATCGGAGCTGCTTAGCCGGCCGATCATTCGCGCAATAGTTCCGGCTATATTTACAATGCGTAATGGTCCCGCGTTTTCCGCGTACTCGTACGAGAGCGGCCGCGAGAGCGCTCGCACGCGAGCGGAATCGGCGTCGTCGCGCGCCGCGAATCGTGTCGATGGAAATCAGGCTAAATGACAACGAGACCGAGGCGTCACGATCGAACGTGTCGAACCGCTACGAGTTTATTTTCAGCTCGGTCTAAGCTCGAGCATATCTTATGTAAAGTGAGCGACCGGGTGCGCGTGGACAACGGCCTGCTCGTGTCGCAGGTGCGAGCGTTTATGGCGAGACGCGCCTCGACCGCTCCGGAGAAATTCCGTCGAGTGGGACATTTCCGAAGCTCGTTGAAATTTTCACCTCGGACGATCGTCCTTCTCTCCCTCGCTTTCTCTCCGTCTTCATCTCTTCTTGCTCTCTCTCTCTCTCTCTCTCTCTCATCTCTGGCTCTATCTCTCTCTCCCTCTCATCTCTTTGGCTCTGTCTCTCTCATCTCTTTGGCGTTCTCTCTCTCATCTCTTTGGCTCTCTCTCTCTCTCTCTCTCTCTCTCTCTCATCTCTTTGGCTCTCTCTCTCTCTCATCTCTTCGGCTCTCTCTCTCTCATCTCTTTGGCACGCTCTCTCTCTCTCTCTCATCTCTTTGGCGCTCTCTCTCTCTCATCTCTTTGGCGCTCTCTCTCTCTCTGTCTCTCATCTCTTTGGCGCTCTCTCTCTCATCTCTTTGGCTCTCTCTCTCTCTCATCTCTTCGGCTCTCTCTCTCTCTCATCTCTTTGGCGCGCTCTCTCTCTCTCTCTCTCTCTCTCATCTCTTTGGCGCTCTCTCTCTCTCTCTCTCTCATCTCTTTGGCGCTCTCTCTCTCTTCATCTCTCTAACTCTC